GAGAGAGAGAGACAGACAGACAGACAGACAGACAGACAGAGACAGACAGACAGAGGAGAGAGACGTGTCTGCTATAGAGACAGACTGGGGGTAGTGTGGAAGGAGGGCATTTGGGGACATTGGTGATGGGAAATGTACAGTGTGAAGGGATGGATGTTGGAACATTGTATGACTGAAACCCAATTATGGACAACTTTGTAACTGTTTATCTCATGGTGATTTAATAAAACAATAAAAAAAAGTCTGCCTTTTCAGGCCATGGAAGGACAGGCTTACAGGGATAATTAAGGATTAACATGGAGAAGACCAAAGTAGAATTACGAAGACTGCTAGGGAGCCACAAAGACCTCACCAATAAGCTGTTTTTAAAGTGAAGAGGGACATGAAGAGAGCCTGAGAATGAATAAAGATCTCTGAAATAAGAAGTTAAACATTGTAGAAAGAATGATAAAGTCATTATTTCTCACTATGAAGAATCATTTGTCTAGCTTGAAGATTCCCCCTGGAGGTTTATCATAGACTTTATTACATCCTTTCCTTTCCTTTCCTTTCCTTTCCTTTCCTTTCCTTTCCTTTCCTTTCCTTTCCTTTCCTTTCCTTTCCTTTCCTTTCCTTTCCTTTCCCTTTCCCTTTCCCTTTCCCTTTTCCTTTTCCTTTTCCTTTCCTTACTCAGGGGCCACTCCTGGCTTGTACACAGAGGATCATATGGTACTGGGGATCAAATCTGTGCCTCTGGCATGCAAAGCATGCATGCCAGACCTTTGAGCAAGCTCCCCAGTCATATTCCTAACTTTGCATAAAAAAATACTTTGTATTTTTCCCCCACAGGATTGTGAGATCATACAAGGAATGAATATGGTCTGACAACGAGGCCCTTTCAGGCAAGAACTCTGTCTTACTTATCTTTTTCTTTTCATCTTATAGCTTAGCGTGGTGCTGTTAATTGGTGGTCCTTGGTATATAGATAATATCATACTGATGTATAATTAATAAGTAAATGGCATAGATTTAAGGGGAAGACAAGGGTTTGGAGAAATAGTAGAGTAGGTAAGCAGGTAAGGCACTTGCTAAAGCAAGTATGTGGCCAAGATTGGTTCAGTCCCCTGCGCCTCATATGGTCCCATGGGCACAACCAGGAATGACTCCTGAGTGCAGAGTCCAGGTAACCATTGAACACCTCCAGGTATAGCCCAAAGCCAAAAAAATATGATAGACAAAAGTTGAAAATAACTAATGTGATTTTGCACCTATAATATTAATAATATAATAATATTAGTGTATATTTTTCTAAATGTATCATATCTTAAAAATTATATCTTAAAAATACAAAATAGAAATGAAATAAGTGAAATAATGAAATAAATAAAATAAATCTGAGACCTGAGATGTAAACTGACTTGCTTATTCTTCCATAGCCAATAATATTCAAATTTAGAGATCACGACTCTCAGTTAAATCTGCTTTCTACAAGTTGTGTTATATTCTGTGTTGATCAGATTACAACTTCAGTACACTGTTCAATTTTGAACTCTACAATTAAAAGTATGTGTTGATAAAATACAGTTTGTCTGGGGAAGGATGACAAAGATACTAGGGGAATGTGAAAACTATTACATAAAGATGAAGTCAGGGGAAAATAATTTTTCACCTGTATAAAAATTACTTGCAAAGGGCCATGGCATGAGTGGGAAAACATCTCCTTTGAAATATTTAAAAATACTTAAGCTGCTATTTCTTTGTTCCAGAGAAGAACATTAAAAGTCATTGGTAGAAACCTCAAAGAAGTAAATTTCAATGTAATGTGAGAAAAAGTGACTTAAAATTATCATATTCCAGAGCCAGAGAGATAGTACAGGGGCTAAATCTCTTGCTTTGCATGTAGGCAAATCCAGTTTAATCCCCAGCACTATTGGGGTGCACTTTGAAAACAGAGCCAGGAGTAACCCCTGAACACTACCAGGTGCAGTTTAGTTTACCCTCTGCTCCAATTAGAATATTAGCCCCATCCCCAAATTTTAAGAAGTATGTTTAGGTAGAGACTGGATAATTACGAAAACTAGATTGTGAGTTCTGAGATGAGGATTTATTTGTATTGCCTTTTACCCCTGAGAAGATTTTGGCACAATGTACACTCAATAATCAATGCCAATTTTTTTCATAGGTGGGTGAGCATAGAGATCACTGAGAATATACTTTATTATTCAGTTTAAGAACTTTTCCAGCATGTAAGTTTGTGATCCTTTGATAAAAATGCAGCAAAAGAAATGTATCTGTTTTTAGCAAAGCATATCAGTTCTTACTTGGAAGTGAAAGTCAGTTGGACTGTTTCTTTTAGGCTCGAGAAAGCAGATAGAGGACTAAACATGATAACCTCTCAGTGTCTGTATTGCAAACCATAATGCCCAAATGGAGAGAGACAGTATGGGGAATATTGTCTCCCATGGAGGCAAGGGGAAGGTGAGAAAGGGGGGGTATACCGGGGATATTGGTGGTGAGGAATGTGCACTGGTGGAGGTATCAGTGTTTGATCATTGTGTAATTATAACCCAAACATGAAAGCTTATAACTAGCTCATGGTGATTCAATAAAATTAGAAAAAAAAATTTTGTGATTGGGACCAGAGAGATAAAACAACAGGTGTGAAACTTTCTTTGCATATGCCTGACCTGGGATCAATATTCAGCATCCCATTGGTTACCATAGTCTGCCAGAAGTTACTACTAAAAACAGAGCCAAGATTAAGGTCTGAGCACAATCAGATGTGACCCTCAAACAAATTTTTGGTACTGCAATTTTGCACTTCCGTTTGGACAAGAAAGCTTTTCCTTGCCACAGCCACTGACTTAAAAATATCACTTCTAGTTACATACCTATATTTGCTAACCAAGTGAACACTCCAAGAAAAAGCCTAAAGGAATTTTTGTACAAATAATACAGGACCAATTTACGTAAACACTTGAGTGATGGTCATGCCAATTGATTCACACCTTTTAAAGTGATGACTAAACTAGAACATTAGTTTTTCACAGTCCTAAATATTACTTAGATCATCACCTTTATTTTGATTTTCACAAATATCTTAAATATCGCACCCTAGAAAACCTACTTTTCACTGAATATTTTATATTCAAATGTATTATTTTATAATTGTCTTACTTTTTGACATAGAAGTTCATTAGTTTTAGTCTATGAAGAGGTCATAGGAAGGAAATAAACATTTTTATTTACTACTTTAGCTACAGAAAGTTATGAAGAATTAAATGATAAAGAAATTGTTTTATCTCATTTCACCAGAATTTTCACTTAATATTTTCCCAAAGTTGTCATACCTATTTGCTTAAATCAAACAAAAATTTATACCAATTTATCAGTAAAGTCTCTCAGTTAGTCTGGTATTAATTTTCTTTCCTTTGTCCATTTTATGTGTGCTTCACATAGATTTTTTTCATTTTGTGACATTATTTTAGTATATTTCAAATAATTGTGTTCCAAGCCCTTTTGGAAAACAGTATGGATGATTCTCAAAATATTAGAAATTGAGCTCCTATTCGACCCAGCAATGCTACTCCTGGGAATATATCCTGGAGAGGCAAAAAAGTACAGTAAAAATTACATCTGCACTTGTATGTTCATTGCTGTATTGTTCACAATAGTCAAAATCTGGAAAAAACCTGAGTGTCCGAGAACAGATGATGGATTAAAGAAACTTGGTCCATCTACACAATGGAATACTATGCAGCTGTTAGAAAAGATGAAGTCATGAAATTTGCATACAAGTGATACTACATGGATAGTATCATGCTAAGTGAAATAAATGAGTCAGAAAGAGAGGGCCAGACATAGAAAGACTGCACTTATCTGGGAAATATAAAATAACAGAATGGAAGATGAACACCCAAGAATAGGTGAGATAAGTACCAGGAGGTTTGCTCGATGGCTTGGAAGCTGGCGGCACATGCTGGGGGAAAAGGCATCTCAGATAGAGAAGGGAACATCAAGTAAAGGGTGTTTGGAGGATTTGCTCAGGATGGGAGATGGGTGCTGAAAGTAGACTATAGGCCAAACACAATGGGCACTCAATACCACTATTGCAAACCACAGCACCATAAAGGAAAGAGACAACAAAAGAGAATGCCCTGCCACAGAGGTGGGGTGGGGTGGGAGGGATGAGGTGAAGGGGTGGGAGGGCTACTGGGATCATTGGTAGTGGAGAATGGGCACTGGTGGAGAGATGGGTACTCGACCATTGTATAACTGAAACCCAGCAGAAAAGTTTGTAAGTCTACAACTGTACCTCATGGTGTTTCACTAATAAAAATTAAGTTAAAAATTAATAAGTGTATATTATATATGTTTATATACTTTAACTATAATGAGTTGCTTCTAAGAATTTATGAATTTTAGCTCAGATTACTGATGTTATTAAATTTCTCTTTTAGTTGCTAATTTCTCACAAAAATGGAATATATAGTATGCTCTGTGTATCCCTAATATGTAATTTGGCCAGGACCTTTAGATATGCAGCTTACTAGAAAATTCTATAATGCCTCCCAAATAAAAAAATGATATCATAGTTCCCTCTCCTTTATGAGTTATAAAGCACTTTTCTTTCCTTCTTCTTTGATTTAATTTATATGCCAGAGAGTTTTCTGCTCTGGGGATGAAAATGGAGGACCAGGGAAGAAAGCTGATGAAACAGACGTGATTCAAAGACCTGAAATATTTTATCCTCACTCAATATAAAATAAATTATTTTTTTCCTTTTCCAATAACCATCATTTCCCTTGATCTTGGGATCACTCAAAACTTAGCCACTGAATCCTGTATAAACTGGTATGTTTCGCGATGTGGAGATAGACGAAATATCGCTACCTGTACAGATTTTACCAGCTTGATTATATTTACAGTTATGAGATACCGCAAATTTAAGAATGCCAATATTTTTCTCATTACTGAGTATTTATTATATATAACAAATACATGGGAAAGAAAAAACTATATTGTGTGATATAAATAGTTTATTTACATTACAGAAAAACATCAAGACAATGTATACTATTTCAAATATATCCATACATAATCAAATATAGCTGTAGTACATGTTTTCATTGGTGTAGATTACCACAAATGCAAGGCAACATGTGTAGATCTCTTGTCTTATTCTTTTGTCTATAATACTGTATTGTGTAGTCCACGTTCTCGGTAGTCCGGTCACTGTGCAACATGCTCCCTTTAGATTAACCTTGTGGATGCTCTTGTTGTGTTGTCTGAACTGTAGTGCCCTGTATTTTGCTTCTGTCTGTGAATTCTGTTGCTTCTGGGGCATTTCCTAGAAGGTTGGAAAGTTTACAAATCTTAGTCCAGTGCTATTATGTAAAGTTTGCTCCTACAATCACAGAGTGGAGTTGTGGATAATGCATATTATTTAAAATATTTCAGAGGAGAACATTTGTTAGTAGTATAGGCAGGGATAATTTTGGAAGTTATTTTTGCTTCTGCTTGCAGTCATCTGTTAAGATTCAAAGAACAGAGGCAGAAGTTGTAGACGTCATTCTTAACTGCTTACTCATTTGCACAAAGAATGATGCAGAACAATGTCATAAAGAAAGTTCTGATCTCGCTTCATCTCCCCTTAAAAGTGTCCATTAATCTTGTATTTTACATCATGAAAGTATGATTGCTATATTGACATTTTAATTCTACAAGTTTAAATCCCATCAAACAGAGAGTGAGCCAACAGCTGATATCTGAATTTAATGGAAAGAGATATTGTTTGGGTTTAGCCTAATATCACATAATTTTCATACATTAATTTAAAAATAAAAACATGAATTGTTAAAGCTATTTAATTTCTATGAGAAACTAATATTTAATAAAGACATATGAAAAGGTCTAATACAATATACTCTCTTATAATAAAAGAATGCCTATACAAAAAAGAAAATAAAATTCATATAAAGTACTATTACAATAGGCTGTGATATATACACATATATATTCATACACATATATACATATATATATACATATATATGCACATATATATGTATATATATATATTTGAGAGTAGGTCCATCAAAATAAACATGGAACTAGTCACTTTTCCAACAAACAGGAACTAAAGATAGGAAGAGTAAATTCTAGCATCTCAAGAGAACTTGTTCATTTCAGAATATGTCTCTTGATGTCCACATTTTTATGACCCACTTTTTATTTAGGAGGAGAGCAGATGTTTGACTAAAATAGTAAAGACAAACAAGTAAAATGAATTAGGGGAAAATGTGGGAAGAAAGGGAAAGAAAAGAGAAGTAGAGAAAAGGAGGGACTAGATAAGTAAGAGATTTAAAAGAAAATAGAAGAGAATGTGGGATCTTCTACTTGGAATGGTTTTGTAACTCTTAACCACTAGAGTTTTGAAATAGGTCTTGAGAAACAAAGGTGACCAAATAGTCAGGGAAGAGTTCAGGAAGGAAAAATAGTCTAGTTGGAAAGACTGCTTTCAGAACCGAATATTTTTAAGTAAATAGAGTGAGTCCACGCTGGGAATAGTGTAGTTTATTGACTATCACAGCCCCTGAAAGACTTTGGAAAACTTTGATGTCCTAGGATAGATTTATAAAACACACTGCAATAACACTGATTTATTTGTATTGCTGTTTCTGTGCTTCAAAAGTAAGTCAGACGATATGTTTTACCATGGAAAAAGAAAATAACCATGCAATTTGAGAAAATGACTTGTTTTAATTTGGAGCTAAGTTTACATTGTCTTGAGCATTAGAACACAAAACATTATGATCAGCCAAGAGGCAGTAAAAGGGGAGTGATTAAGTGGACTGGTGCTGATGTTGGGAATGTGTTTTTCTCTTATTGCTCAGCAATTTGCTAATTCAGCAATTTGCTAATCTCACAATCCTTATCTTAGAAAAGTCCCTATATCAGGAAAGAGGAACTGTGTTCCCTCTTTATAATAAAAGTAGGATAGTTTTTTCCTCTTTATAATCTTACTAAATGTATGCATACACACATATAATACCCATCATATATATACATACATATATGTAGTTTCTGTAGACATAAGGACCTTACATGCGAGAAGTGTTTTCAATCATACATGAGAATAAAAAACTAATAATAAAATTAAGAACACTGGTTAAATTTTAGTACTTACACTTTACAATTTTGTCATACATAAAGCCTAACCTAGAATTATTTTAGATTATCTGTAATAATTTTTATGTGATGATATTTTTTATTAGAAGGCCCAGAATATTATAATAAAATGGTGCAGATTTTATATTTTAGTTTATTTCCCAACTTTTTTAATACTCTGTATTTTTTGTTTCTTGAGTCATCTTTATGTTCCTCAGAATCTATTTTAATATAATCCATCGACTCACTTGGCATCTAAACGTAAGTGTAGAGTTGATGAACTCAACTTGGCTTGAGCAGCACAAAGCTCCTGTCAATGATCTTCCCTTAAGCCCTTAGTCCCTGCAAGGATTTATGAACCATATTTTGTCTTTTTCAAGAGCAAATGCCACACTTATTCTCAAAGAAGACAGTGCAATACAGACACTGAGATGTATTAGGGCCTTTCTTTTCTAAAGATATGATTCTTTTATTTTCTTGTTTTTTGAAAATAATTTCTTTGCAAAACATTCTGATTTATTGTAAAGCTGTGCAAACAAATGAAAGTCTAAATAGCTTGTGAATTTGGCAAAAACCTTGAGAAACTTCCTCGGAACATTTTTCTCAAGGAGAACAAAATAGGCCAGAAAAATGTGTATCTTCATAACATTTATAGTATATAAGCTATAATGTGCATTGGTTTAGAATACACCAATTAAGTTAAGCCAGTATCTGGTCGCATTCTTTAACTCCATGCCATCACTAATAATCATGATTTTCTTTCCTTTCAAAGAGAAGATTCAATCTATATGTATATCTCAACCTATTGCACAGAAAATAATGATCATTTGGCTGTTCTTGGGCTTTTTTAAAAAAGCTTGTGATATATACTGTGTATTTTCGTCTACACTAAAGGTTTCTTGTATAATAATATAATATTTATCATTACAATAATTTTCTTTGAATTTTAATATTAAACACATTGTCAAACTCAGATAAAATATTTATATCAATATATTAAGTGTTAGGGCTGGAGCGATAGCACAATGGGTAGGGCATTTGCATTGCATGCAGCCAACCCAGTTTCTATTCCTCTGCTCCTCTTGGAGAGCCAGGCAGCTACGAAGAGTAACTCACCCTCACGGCAGAACCTGGCAAGCTCCCCGTGGCATATTCAATATGCCAAAAACAGTAACAAGAAGTCTCACAATGGAGACATTACCTGTACCTGCTCAAGCAAATTGATGAACAATGGGAGGACAGTGCGACAGTGCAGTGCTATTAAGAGTCATCTGTGAATTTTACTTGCAAATGTTGGTGGTAAAAATAAGACATAGAATTTAATAATATTCTCCACCTTCTGTAAAATATACTCTGGTCTCATTTGGTATATGAACTGACTAATAAGAAACATTTAAATTGCTAGCAGTTTTATTGAAGATTATATTTTTTTAATTTAAAGGAGACATATTTAAATAAAGGTGGCATTGCACATTAGATGAACAAAAACCACTGCTTAAAAATAAATTCATCCTCATAATGCAAAAATCTGAAAACTATGTATACCACTATGGCATGAAAATATATCTTTCCATTTGACTTCCAATGCTTTTATGATGAGAACTATGGATAATATGGGGATAGAGACTGAGTCTGTAAAAGGACTCATCATTTGAATGGTCTGATAAGATAAAGAGAGAAAAAATATATTTCTTTGAGCGATCATTGAGTCTGTTACTGACCTTGTGATGCAGAGGACCACCACACAGATGACAGCAATCTGAATCGTTCCAATCACAGCTGCAATTAAGACGTACTGAAACCGTACTGGACCAGGGACAACGTAGAGAACACTGTAGTCCTTTTTTTCACAGTGTTGCCCAGTATAACCAGCATCACACCTGGAAGAAATGGCAGTGTTTCCATTATCTGTAACTGTTTTATTTATTTTTAAGTTGACTGATAGACGTTTATCTTCATTGTGAAATTAGGGCATTCTGACACTTCTACAAATATTACTTTGTAGATACGGCTATCAATATTAAATTTGATAGTTTGTGTGCTTCTGATTTTGAAATATACAGTTTCCTTTACACCTACAGGCATAACGATTTTTTTGTGTGATACGAAGATAGAAAGATAAAATGTGTGTGATGATAATATAAACAGGCAATGGATGTCCAGGGATAATTGTCCTTTTCATACTTTTCTTTTTCTCAAGACCTTTACATTTTATTTAACATACTTTCTAATTAAGTAAATAGTACCCCTGAGAAAAAGTTTATGTCTATAGAGAACATTGGAATTTGGATAATATATATTTTCAGACAAGCATCCTCTATGCTGCTTATGGAGTAAATGTTGAAGACTATTAGAGCAGTTGCACACAATAAGAGTAATTATTTTGGTGTCCGGCTTATGTCAGAGAGTGCAGAAGAATTGGTGTAAAAAGTTAATAGTGTTCTTTAAAATTAGCCTGTAGGCTTCATCTAACAATGAACTCTACCCTTCATATAACCCTCCATAAGAAATTTCAGGTAGACAACCTGGTAGTAAAATTAGAATTGAACAATACAAAGAGAAAAAACTCAGATTAAAAATAATACTTTACTGCTGATCACCCATTCAGGGAAAATGCTTTCTAATTCTGTCAACATCCATAATTTAGTTTCTGAGTCTTTACTCCATATGTTTTAGAAGTAAAAGGGTGTCAACATTACCTGCAAGATGGCTCCTGCATATTGACAGAATGTTCACATTTCCCATGCATGCAGAAGCCATTGTAATGTTCTGGGCAAGGAATGTGATGTTCTCTGGCACTTTCTTCTAATTTATTAGCATTCTCTGTGAATACAGATAAAAGCATCCCTTGTAAATACTTTCTTAGGTCCGTAATATCAACCAGTACATTAAGAAGCAAAGCTACAGTAGGCAAAGATATTTAAAAGGGCAAGAACTAAAAGCCCTGCTTCAGAAGAAAGAGGAAGAAAGAATCGAAAGACAGGCGTCTTTACAATTTATGTTTAGAGATGAAACTGCAAAATTACCCTGTGCTTTCATGCTTTTATGTAATTTCCTACATCTTTAAGAGCCAGTGATGTTTCTATGAGTTGTCAGACAGCTTTAATTTTCCTTGTGTAGAGACTCTACACTGATCATAAAATAATTCAAGAAAAAATATTCTATTTTTTGAATTTCAAAGCCCAGCATAATGTCCCTAAACCTAAGTTGCTCCAGCTTCTCAATACCATTTTTTTCCCCAGGAGGGAGTTTAAAATTTAAAATATGGTATGTTCAATTGTTAAACAGGCATTTTCTAAAACCAAATGCAAATTTCAACAAATGTGTTCCTTCAGACTTCTTTTTAATGCACTGTGAACATGAATTTTACTAGCACCCATACATTTTTTATTGCCAAAATAAAAAAAGCAAATCACTTTTTACATAATTATTTTTTAGATACTAATGGTACATACTGAATTCTAGAAGTATATTTTATGGCATAGTAGTAAGCTTTTGTTAATAATGCTGTATATGAAAACAAGTCTTTCAAAAAAGAAAAAAAATATGTACTAAAATGAGTCATTCCCTCTGTATCAAAATGTTGTCTCGTGCTTCTAAAAAGTTATCAAAATATTTCTTTATAACCTTTGTTATCACAAATAAATTTGCTTCATCCTTGTAATGTCTCCCCTAAATTGTCTTTTATTCTTTATATAAACATATTAAAAGGCTGGAGGGTACACAGGGTAAGGTACTTGCTTTGTATGGGCTGATCTGGGTTTGATCCCTGGCACCAATATGGTCTCCCCAAATCCTGCTAAAAGTGGTCTCTAGTACAGAGCCAGGAGTAATCCCTGACAAATTCTGTGTTACCCCCCCCAGATAATAACAAAACAAAAATCCTTCATATATAAAGATTTGTCTTAATTTATAATTTCTTCTATTTTGAGACCTGCTACATTTTAAAAAACATGCCCACTCAGTTGACATTAATCTAGATTCTAATTTTTTGAAAGTAGGGGGCAAACTCAAGTGTGCTTTATTATGGCTTTGTGCTCAAGGGTCACTTCTAGTGGAGCCCAGGGGACCGTCTGTGATACTGAGGATTGAACTGGAGTTAGCTGCATTCAAGGCAACCCTCTGTACTATCTCTCTAGATGCTAAAGCTACTCTTTGATATACAACAATGGGTGGCAGTAATGGAACATTAAGAAAAACTTCTACTTTCCAAAATTATATTGCATCCAAACATCCAAACATAGATATAGGTTTTTATTATGGAACATTTTGATAATTATTACTGACGGTCATGGATAATGAAGTTCTCATAAGGATAAACAAATATACTTTTGAAATTAGCAAATCAGACATACTTTATATTTAAGCCTTGTTGTGAGATGTATATATATATATTAATGTCTAATAATCATATACAAAATATTAATTTGGGACTGGAGCGATAGCACAGTGGGTAGGGCGTTTGCCTTGCACGTGGCCGACCGGGGTTTGATTCCCAGCATCCCATATGGTCCCCTGAGCACAGCCAGGAGTAATTCCTGAGTGCATGAGCCAGGAGTAACCCCTGTGCATTGCCGGGTGTGACCCCCCCAAAAAAGAAAAAAAATATTAATTTGAAATGCATTGATATGTTTGGTAGCACTGTCCTCCCATTGTTCATCGATTTGCTCGAGCAGGCACCAGTAATGTCTCACAACAAATTCTAAGACTTGTTGTTACTGTTTTTTTTTGGCATATTGAATACGTCATGGGGAGCTTGTCAGGCTTTGCCGTGTGGGTGAGGTACTCTTGGTAGTTTGTTGGGCTCTCCTAGAGGGACGGAGGAATCAAACCTGGGTCAGCCGCGTGCAAGGAAAATGCCTTACTTGCTGTGCTATCGCTCCAGCCCGATATGTTTGGTAATAGTTCAAATTAGATACCCACATTAATAAAGGATTTATCATAATTATATTGGAGAGATGATATGGTTGTTAAATAATATCTGAGTTTGATACCTCATCCTCATTAGCTATATTGGCTACCACATATATGCCTTATATGTGGTCAATCTGGGTTTGAGCCCCAGCATCCCATGTTGTTACCCAAATGCACCACTAGTGATCCTTGAGAAAAGTCAGGGGTAAGCCTAAGTACAGCCAGACATGGCCCCAAAAACAAACAAACAAAACTCAAAATTGCATCATTGGTAAGCAAGCACACCAAAAGTAAAGTGGATAGTATTGGGTTAAGTTTCTAATATGGAACATATGAATAAAATGGAGGATGGACCGCCTTGTCTCTAAATGCACCTTAGGACGTTTTTTGGTCATTCATGAATCCATGGAGAAGATTGGTTTCACTCTATGCCACCGCCAGGGGACTTCAAGCTAACACAGTGAAACTGTGCACCTGCTGTTTAAAGACATTTTAGCAGTGGTTTTGCTGGCCCCACTGCTGATGTAATGAACCAGCACTGATTTTCACTCTTATTTCTGGATCTTATCCCCATAACAAACTATTCAACATGTCTATTTAGTGTTCGTTAGTAACCCTTCAGTGCCTCTGCACACCTGTGTGCGGGGAAGTTTTGAAACTCTCTTAAATTTTAACAATACACTGTGATTTTTCTGTTGTAGTATTTTTCAAACACATTTTATTAGGGCTATTTTTCTTTCTGTCAGTTGCCTGAGAAGATCAAGTAATTTCTTAATGCAAAATCCATTTTGTATGGTATTTTATTTATAATTCTGTCTTTTAAATCATATTCTTGATTTTTGGAGTTGTACCATTTTCACAATTATGAACTGAAATAAGAGCTGATTTGTGTAAAGTTATTGCCTAATTGTGCTAAGAGCTGGGTATTTTCACAGAGTACATTACACAGGCAGAATGATCACGTGGGAAGGGAATAGTTTCCATCATAAAAACTCCTAATTAGTTTACACCATTCCTCATGAGTTAGGAGTGCTCTTTCATAGAATACTGTCAAATAAGAAAGTAGAAAGATTGAAAATAAATGAGTAGAAGAAATGATCCCTAGGCAAGAAAATGAAGAATCATCAATATATGTCAACAAATTTATAGTCAATCCAACCATGTAAACCAGTTGATTGAAAACTTGAATATATATCCACTTCTAGTAATGCAATACACATATTTTAGAAATGAGATTTAAGTATCTTATAAGAGTATACTTACAGAAATCTAATATCCCCACCAAATATGAGTATAGATCATAGTATTTGTTTTTCTGATGTTTATGCATAGGTAGTCAAGCAATGATAAAGTATTTAAATTTTAAGATTATATAAAAATGATACTTGTATCTTCGTATTTGTATAACAGTGACTGACAATTTAGAAGTAAAATTTCTCTCTCTTCCTCTTAAAAAAGAACTCTGAGGTCTGTGCTTTTTCTTCCAAGAAAGAGAATGATATTGGTAAAAACTCTTCATGTCTCTGTTTAAAATTCTTCATCAGACTTTTGCTAAATTGTTTACAAATGGATTATTCCTAAATATATTCTGGCCCTCTTATAAACAACCTCAGGTAGAATTTGAGACTTTTTGCAGCAGAGTAAATAGGAATTCATGTCCATTGTTTGTCAACACTCCAGTTGAGGACTATAGAAGCAGGAGAGCTGAGCGACATGTACTGTTTTCTTCCTGATGTTTACAGGGAAAGAAAGAGGTTAAGACAGAGACTGAGAGAACGGCAAATGGCAAGGTTTCACCTTATCACCAATCAAGGAAAGTGATTTCAAGAAAGCCAGGCAAGGCAGTTCAAAATCTGAAATTAGTACAGCCCACAGTGGGGCAAGTCTATTTCTATGTTTGTGCTTACTCTTGCCCTGCCTTCTTCCCCCAAAGCTGCAAAGAGGATGGTGTTCATAGACTCAGTTTATCAAAGCAACACAGTCTAAATCAAAACAGAAATATGATAGTGTGAAGTATAGCTAAAATTATCTCTATGTCTGATGAATGAATGTCTCTCTAAGGACAGAGCGAGTAAAGGGATGAGGTGCTTGTTCCACATGCAGGTGAACTAGGTTTTATCCCTGACAACTCATATAGGTCCCTGAGCACCAAAAGAAGAGATCCCTAAGCATAGAGTTAGGAATAGACCCTGAGCAGTAGTAAGTAAGGCCTTCCCCCTTCCCAGAAATTGCTTCCTTTTACACAAAGGTTAGAGCTTCATGAAAGAAGTTTCTAAAAGTCAAGTGTTATCATTTTGGGATGTGTGCTGAGAGAAAAAATTGAACTGGCAAGCTTAGAGTCCAGTCGGAGAGAGAGATCTTGCCTATCAGTGTCTGATGCTATTAAATACTCAGTCCATTTGTCTTGTTTTATGCTCGGCTCTCTAAACAGTCTAAATAATTTGACTTCCAAGTTGCCTACACACTGGGAATGGTTTTGACAGTATCCCATGAATATCATATTATTTTGACAGTTATGTATTTTGTTTGAATAAATTGACTGTCCTGAGTTTTGAGCATCATTTGAGACATGAGTATGCAGTTTTCAGTCTACTCACTTCTGAGATCTAGTTAAGGTAAGTTTCTGGACTTATACATTGAAGGATTGAACAAATAAACAGTGCATTAGAGTCTGAAAGGTCTTTTTAAAAAGGCAAGTCGGGTTACAATTACCTGGAGATAGCACTACTTTACATTGATGGTGATTATTTTCATATATACACATATTTGTCTACATATAGTATGTGTATGTCTCTCTCTCTATATATAATATATATATTATATATATATGTAATTCTTTAGGTCACTGATTCCCCAGGTGGAGTCTGATTCTGTGCAAATATTTCAGAGTAAGCTGGAGAGATCTTAAA